TATTGTATACTACCCAGGAGGTTTATTGTATACTACCCAGGAGGTTTATTGTATACTACTCAGGAGGTTTATTGTATACTACCCAGGAGGTTTATTGTATACTACTCAGGAGGTTTATTGTATACTACCCAGGAAGTTTACGATATATACTACCCAGGAGTTTTATGGTATACTACTCAGAAGTTTTATGGTATACTACTCAGGGAGTTTTATGGTATACTACTCAGGAGTTTTATGGTATACTACTCAGGAGTTTTATGGTATACTACTAAGTAGTTTTATGGTATACTACTCAGTAGTTTTATGGTATGCTACCCAGGAGTTTTATGGTATACTACTCAGGAGTTTATGGTATATTACCCAGGAAGTTTATGGTATACTACACAGGAGTCTTCTGGTATACTACCGAGGAGGTTTATTGTATACTATCCAGGAGGTTTATGGTATACTACCCAGGAGGTTTATTGTATACTACCCAGGAAGTTTATGATATATACTACCCAGGAGTTTTATGATATACATATATTGCTTAGGAGTTTTATAGAATACTTACCACGAGTAAAGTTTTATAGAATACTTACCACAAGTAAAGTTTTATAGAATACTTACCACAAGTAAAGTTTTATAGAATACTAACCACAAGTAAAGTTTTATAGAATAATTACCACAGGTAACGTTTTATAGAATACTTACCACGAGTAAAGTTTTATAGAATAATTACCACAAGTAAAGTTTTATAGAACAATTACCACAGGTAAAGTTTTATAGAATACTTACCACGAGTAAAGTTTTATAGAATAATTACCACAAGTAAAGTTTTATAGAACAATTACCACAGGTAAAGTTTTATAGAATAATTACCACGAGTAAAGTTTTATAGAATAATTACCACAAGTAAAGTTTTATAGAATAATTACCACAGGTAAAGTTTTATAGAACAATTACCACAAGTAAAGTTTTATAGAATACTTACCACAAGTAAAGTTTTATAGAATACTTACCACGAGTAAAGTTTTATAGAATACTTACCACGAGTAAAGTTTTATAGAATACTTACCACGAGTAAAGTTTTATAGAATACTTACCACGAGTAAAGTTTTATAGAATACTTACCACGAGTAAAGTTTTATAGAATACTTACCACGAGTAAAGTTTTATAGAATACTTACCACGAGTAAAGCTTTATGGAATACTTACCACGAGTAAAGCTTTATGGAATACTTACCACAAGTTTAATGGTATATTACCTAGGAATTTTATAATAGTAGCTTACTATAAAATTGTGTTATCTAATAATATGATTATAATGTAACCTAGGGATTGTTTTGATATGTAGACTTACCGGTACTAGTAGAAATATGACCGGCTATCTCTTGTTGTAATGTAATATTATCTTCCTGTAGTTCCTCTATTAGTAACTGTTGTCTATAAACCAATAACTTTAACTCATTCAACTGAAATATGTAAATCATTAATTAGATAACATGAATATTCATAGCAATAATGAACATGAGGTTGAAGGGGATGAGTTGTGATAGATTTTGAGAAGAATAATGGCCAATACAACGTCGCCAGCAATGAGTTAGAGGTGGGGAAAACAACATATTTGAAAAGGATAACAGCTGGGGTTTGTGGTGATATTTCTAATGATCTCATCATTTTTTCGACAGGGATTTCAAACCACCATTACATTTTCAGAGCCATAATTAGCGAAGCTACAAGCTGTCCTCGATTTCACGGCCGATGGGAAATATTGAATACAAAAAGCAACAACATGCTGAGTAAATCACTGTTTGACAATGTTTATCAATTTCATCTTTCACATGAAGACGATCACCATCAATTCGACGGGAACAACTGAAACCATCGGAAAAGTGGAGGTATTAAACCTACCTTATTTTGTTTGGCAGTATCCAGGATAATACCTTGTTCTCGGTCAAACTGTAGATCCATCAAAGCTTCCAGCATCTTGGTTTCTTTCGCCCAATCCATCTTACTCTCACTAATATCAAATAATTTACTATTAAAATAGTCTAGTTCTGTCTTTAAACCTTTCTCTACAGCCTTCCATTCCTGCTCTCGACCTTCCAGATAAGTCTAGGAAAACAAAAACAAACGATAGAAACCAGGAAGCTTAAAAGGTTTTTTTTACAAACAATTACTAAACCTTTTTTATGTGTATCACCAGGGCCCCGTTCCACTAAAGTGCGTAAGTTTACGCAAAATATTTTTTCGTAAGATAAACTTACGCAAAATTTAAGCGTAAGAATGTTAGTGGAACAGGTCCCAGGACACTGATAGAAACTGTTTTCACCTTCTAATTTTCAGTCAGCTGATGTCTTGGATTCCTGCAATTCCATTTATACATTTATCTGTTAGACAGGATCCTCGTGAACCCAAGTTGTTATCCATTTAAAAATGGGTGTTTCTTTCTATCTTATTTTACTTAATACACGAAAACAATTATCTTGGAATAATTTCTTAAAATGACAACAATTTACATACCTGAAATTCTCGTCTTTCACACCTGAGTCTTAAATTATCGTCTTCTCGTGCTTGTAATCTTTTGAACAGGTCATGTACCTGTACCTCTAGGTAATCAGTCTCCCCCATTAGATCTAGAATATAGTGAAATTATCTTGTAAACTAGGGTGGGGTGGGGGGTGTAGGGGGGTAATAAGTTGGTATAAGATATTTTAAGGCAAAGTCTGCTCTGTATGAATAAGATATCAATATAAAGAAAATAACTTTGAAGATCGATCCAATTAAAAATGGCTCTATCTGCTGGTGAAATGAGTTCTCCAATCATTTTTATATTTATATGTGAATACAATATATTATCACCCCTCTCTTCTACTAGAATATGCCAGTAACCGGATTTTCAACGACTACCAACAACTACTGACGACATATACAGTCAGTTACACTGAGTGAACAGACGACTGAAAAATCCCAGTTGCCACCAACTTGACCAAGTGCTAATGTGTTATTTTCTAGCATAAAGCGAAATCTAAGATCGGCTGCGACAGGTCCGATGCTATTGGAACTTTCAATCGTTTGTCGACGGACCGTGCTAGTCCCGAATTTTAATGTTGGTCTAAAGTCTCGATTAAATAATTTTAGTAATGAAATAATCTACCTAGCAAGTATTCTCTGAACTCTTTCCATGTCTCATGTGTCGAGGTTACAGTCTTCATGATTTCTTCTCGACCAGCTTCTGGTGAACTTTCTTTAGTATTAGCGTCACCATTCTGTTCGTCTTCGCCAGATTTCTCGGCATCGCCAACAAACAAACCTTCCAATGTTTTTGCGAGTTGTTCAATTTGGTTGTCCAATTTGTTGACCAAATATTCCGGACTACCTTCAACAAAGGAGTTCGAATGGAGATTTGAAGGTGCGGAAATTAACGAATCTTCTGAGGATGAACTTTGACCTTTACCATAGTTGTCGTATCTGAAATTCGGTCTTTGATCAGGGAAGATTGGATACAGGTTCACGTCACTCCGTAGCTCACTGGAGATCGTCGTGTCTTTAGAAACTGACTCGTCTGCTGTGATGTTGTCGCAGTCTGTGACGAATATTGGGATATAAGTATCACTGAAAGCCTTTTTATTAAACATATCTGGTACCATAACAGGTTGAACGTCTGATTCTAGATGGTCCACATTTCCAGACGTAACAGTCTGGTCATTTTGGTTTGATCGGACCACATCATCGACACTGAAAATCAATGGACAAGATTCGCCCAGTTCTTCCGAATTAATTGACTCAAACGATGCAGATGTGCTTGAAGCGCTTTGACCCGTACTCTCAGAACCGTTCCACAGATAGGTTAAGTCAGGCCCAACCGCAGTTGGGTTTTCAGCCCTGCTTGGTCTGGCTGCATTCGTTGGAATGATCCCCTGTCGATCACCGCCATCTTGATCCGATTTGGACAAAAATACCCTACTCTTAATAGGATTAGAATTGTCTTCGTAATCTTCATATTGTCCGCCACCAATATCGTCTTTGATAGCACAAAAGGAAATGTCTTGTTCATCACTTTCAGAACCGCTCAACTGTTCAGCCATTTTGTATTTTTATGACGTTATCAGCAGAATGACGTTCTGAAAAAATGACGTGCACTGACGTAGGCAATAGACTGACCATTGGGCTAAACTAATCCGCCATTCCATCCAAGGCTTCGCACCCACGAGATTAGGGTGGTTGAAAGGTTACAAGTTACTATTACAAGTTACTACATGAGTATTACACCAAAGTGACGCGGTTCTGTCTAATTTCAGCCCATGGGTACAAACTTAATATACTCTTTATTCCACATGGGTCAGAATTAGATCCAATACACCAAAGTCACATGGTCACATGGTGACATTCAACCCATGGAAACTGGTCCGCAATTCCATCTGAAGTTTTTTAATGTAGCGATAAGTGAACTCAACAGGGGTCCAGTTAACGACGTTTCTATAATCGCAACCATGATGTTACAGAATCCTTAATAAAACTGAATCAGAGCCTGCAAATTTCAACATGAAACACTTCTATTTCAGGATGTTTCAGGTGAATTATATTTATAGGCTGAATATTGACATTTGGTGGCTTCTTTCACAAGGACAGAAACCTTACCAATATTTGTACAATATAGATATTTTTGATTCTAGTGCATATATGACACTATCGTCCTACTGCCCGATTTATAATAATGTCGGTGATAATCCCTGATCCTTTTTTTTCATTTTCGGTTCAAAATTTTAGAATGGAGGTTCAAACACTGCCCGAAACATATCAATTTATGGACAGGCGATTAATGCCAACCTATAGCACACGAACTGAAGAACTGGACAATGTTCGATACATGTATTAACTTCTCTAATATTTATCACTGACAGGGTTGAATAAGTTTTAAAATTCATCATCTTCCAGTGAAGGCAGATAAACATACCAGAACCATATTGATTAGGGTAGGAATATAGAACAACCTTTAGCACATGGGCCTACTTCTCTTTGGGGGAGTTCACTACTATACAACTTCTACTGAAATCTTGCCATTTTATTGACGAGATTTTTGACTGACTTAGTTGTACAGAATTTTATAACAGAAAGACTGGGCAAGATTCCACACGTGTATCATTGACAAGGGCAAACTGGGTTATAAAACTCGCCATTTTCTCAGTATGAGTCAACATATTCATTTAGCAGATATTATATGACAACCTTGGACTTTTGGACTGGGAAATTTTTCACAAGTGCATTATTGACAGGAACAAAAGGTTTTCTTAGGATGATTGAAGGCAGATAAACGTATTAGGGGAGAGCGGATATATTTTATGACAACATTTAGAACATGGACTGAAAGACTGGATAATTTCCATATTGGCCCAAATGCATGGACATTCTTTCTCCTGTATTTTAGAAGTTGAGTAAGAAAACAACAGTCTATATATATTGTCACACTAAAACCTTTATTATATCAGAACTTTCTTGTTACCAGCCAAACCACAACGTCGGCCTACAGTGAAAAGGTTTTTACAAATTAACAAAATCACATTCACCAAGTTAACATGATAGACAGAACTCGTCTTAAAACTAGTTTATTATAGTGTTAGTTTGTACTGATAAGCCACCGTACAGATAACAGCGTGATAGTTTGATTGCATCCGATTCCAATCTGGATTAATCTGAGGTGGCGATTCTGAAATTCTGATTGGCTACTCATGATATCCAATCACTGGCAGTAAGTTCTCAACCTTGAAGCTATGCCATGACTGTTAAATGCTGCGCTTTCGACTTTTACAAAAACTTTGCCGAACAGAACACCTGCTCAAAAGTGATGAATCGAAGATTTGCAATCCTTGTTCTAAAGAGAAAACCAACAAGGATCAATTCGGGGCCAGTGCGATTTGATGTTAAATAGAGATGTTATTCTATAATATACGATTTATATATTTATACCCGAATTGACATCGTCAGCTTTCTAATTAGACTCTTTGGTTTTACAAGAATGTGATTTTCATTTTATGGTGGGAACTATACTAATAAATAAATACTTAAATAAATAAGGCGTATTCATCAAACATACTATTCTGGACGACCAACGCCGCCAAAATATCAAATTTCGTCACTGTAGATACTACACTCGTTACCGAATAAGGCTGATTTTGCAGTGAACAGAAACTTGTAAGTTGTATGTTCATGAATACGCTCGAAACCATAATACATTGAAATGTTTGGGTAAAGCAATTTTTTATTGGAAAGATGCTCGAAGGTTGCTTCAATTGTGTTGAAATTCGAAAATTATTGTAATGTCCGACGAAATTTACTACACTATTAAACAGCACAGAAAAAGAAAAGAAAAAAAGTTCAAATTTAAGATCCCAAGATGTCGAGAATCGAGATTTTCTAAAAACATCCAACAAGGAATTCTTCTTTTCTATGGTACACATCAACACTGGATGAAAACGTCTATTTTACATCTGAACTTCATGACGGGTCAACTGGATTCTGAAATATATGCCAAGTGTAAAATTAAAGATTCTACTGCAAGAATATATGTGTACAGCATTAATGAAGGGGGGAGGGGGGGGGGAGTCCTTTTTTTACCTTTAAAGCATTGTCAGAGTTCATCGACAACCCTGACCCTATCCACTTCCTTAGACCTGGTATACCGCTGTAATAGCTTCAATTGATAGGGACTGAAATATCATGTCAACCATATAACCTCAACCTGAACTTTAATCGCAGGTCTAGTGACCATTCAAAATATTACTTCCAAACTTATAGGATTATAAATTGAGCGACTAGGCTACGTGGAACAGAAATCAGCTGGGTGGTCACACTTTTCCAAGGTTATTTAATCTTCGCTACCCTCACAGCAACAATATACAGTGAGCGGTCAGAATGCTAGTGGTTTTCGTAAATACATTTGCTATCAGTTTCCAGGTCAACCACAGCCCAATGAAACTCAACCGTTTATAATTTTCATATCAGAAGGCCTACGTATCATTACCATACACATATTATTGTATATAGAAGATATTAATTGCGGATCTCAAGCTGTTAATTCATAATTAATAAATGCATCAAAAAATAATATGAAATATTTTTCGTTTTCTCACCTTGACTAGTAAATATTACAACTTTAATTAAGATGGGATTTTATTCATCTTCTTTTTCCTCGGCAGCAGCGCCCTCATCACCGACTGTGGCAACTGGGCGTATTCTCTTTATTTCGGGGGGTGGGACCTCTTTACTTAATTCTTCATATAATTCTGCTCGTTGACCGAAGGTTCGTCTGTCGGTTAACTTTTCATATTTACTGCAAAGTTGGATTTTCGGCTGAAAGGGAAATATGGAAGAGTTGAAATAGTAAGCGAATATACCAGGAATGGGTTAAAATATCGCTGTACAGCCTAAGAAGTTTTAAAAGACAGGAGACGGCACGGGCCTTTAACGTCATAGCAAAGAGTGACGCATCTCGAGTGACGCCATCTTGTCACGCCATCTTTTCATAAAATCCTCTTAAACCTCCTTGGTACAGCCTAACTCGTTTTTAGCGACCACCTCCAGTAAGCGACCAATTTTAAACATTCCCGTAAATGCTTGCTTCATACAATTATGTCTGTATACGTTATATGAACACACGGTGCTAGATCGTGTACCTATCGTCATCCATTAGTCAAATAGGCCTAGTAGTACTACAACTGAAAGCGCATTCAGTCAAAACGTTAAAGGTACAGGTCCACTAACTCTTAGGATGACCAAAAAAGTTTGTAAACTTGAAGCGTTCTAAGCTTAGAAGCGTGTTTCAATAATTATTTAGTTTAATGCATACGTCATCTTATATAGAGATTCTATTCTTTAGTCATGTCACCTGGTAAGTCAACTGATGAATATATACTCATATTGACCCAGTTTAACACTTTAAATTTTATGTCTATTCTAAGGGGTAGTTTTCCTTTAAAGGAATCAACGATTGGAAAGGAATCTGTTTAATCTACTTACTGGGGCACTTGTATATTTATCAGATAGTCTGTCGAATCTGTAAAAAAAAAACAAAGAATAGAAATAAATAAACCAAGCACAAACAATCCGAACCGTAAAACGAAACCCAAACAACATATTGGCAAAAAATTCGTAGCAGCTAATGAACTTTTTACATGAGGAAGTATGAATTGAATTCATAAATAAATAGAGGAAAGACAACTCGTTCTACTCTCCCACTAAAAAGATGGGCACGTTACAATTTAAAGCCATCTTTAAGGGATGTCCGTTTTAATTGTTGACTATCTTACTGTCTCTATCTATATATTATAAACTGATTTGAAAAACGGCCAATGAAATAACAGGTGGATGTACTGAGAAACTTCCTAATTGCATACCCAACAATGTCGACTAAAATTTGAATGTAGAAACCGAGACTTACGATTCATCGACTTGGACAGCAGATCTCTTGCTCTTTCTGGAACAATAAATAAAAATTCAGAAATAATAAAAAAAAAACATTTTTGATTGATCTGAAAACGAATCGTCTTTTCTTAATATGCCAGTGGATCTAGGAGTGAATGTAATAGTGTAATTCATGAAAAAGGGGTTTGATCTTAGGGGTAGGGGCCCGTGGACTTGGTTTAACCAGTCTGTGTGGTAGTTGAACCACTACGTGTGACTAATAAATCTAAAAACTATAAATAGACTTACCCTTTGTTCATCTGTCTAGCTCTTTCAGCTAACTCAATCATCTAAAATATAAAACACAGTCAGTCTGATTAAGAGTCAAACAAGCTCTGTGTCTCATTTTGTTTCAGTGTATTAGGTTTTTAATAATACAGGAGATATACAGGACGGTGTGATATATGTATGTTTTGATCTAATTGATTATGTTTCTACCTCTCAGAACTCGCAGACTCCATTTCGTTTCATTGGTATCAATATGAGTTTATCGGTCTTATTTTCTGAAAGTGATGGTGCTAATGACGATGGGCAACGCTATGCAGTAGGCAATGGGAAAAAAATAAGCCTGGAAAACTTATTTTAACAAAACACCATGCAGTCTGTCTCTAGTGTGCGATCAATTTAAGCAGTCCGCTTAGTTATAAACTATTTTTGCACCTTATTTGGTTAATGAAGACAGGAAACACCATGCAGTATGTATATAGCTGTAACGCTCCCTAAAGCGATGAAGTCGGGCCACACCATACGGTGAACAATCAGGGAAATAAAGCCAGAGAAATGTATTAATAATACCACCATAACACCAATAAAGCCTTTCCCTGAACGTTTGCTTAGACGGATTGTAAAGAGGTTTTCTACGCGTTTTATGTGTATGACGTCACTAGAGGGGAACTGCATAGATATCAATAAAAGCTAGTGACGTCATAAAACACGTTGGTTTCCGTGGTATTGCAAGAACCATAGACGTCGAAATGAAAATTGAAATAGTACAAATTGATGCTATCAATGTACCCGATATACATACAAAGTTTAGAAAACATCTTTACAATCTCTTCAATAATAAAAATTGGATTATGACGGATAACGCCATACAGTGTGCAATAAGAGAAATATTATCAATACTTACGTCGTATTGCTGTCTCTTGAATCTCTGTTCAAGATCGTATTTATCTCCCTCTAGAGATCTCAACTTCTCGTGTAATTGACGAGCCTTCTCCAGTAGTTTATCTTGGTTCATACCCTCCATATTTAATGGTTGAATTCTCTGAGCCAACACCGCTCTCTTCTCCTCTTCCAGCTCCTCTCGAGATTTCTGGTAGGGTTCATCTGATTGAACTCGATCAAGATCCTACGAAGGGAAGACAAAATAGTACATTGTTTTTGGTGCTATGAGTGGTGAACGCGCGGATTTCTAATACATAGAATGAAATAAAGGAAATGAATGAAATCATAAGAGACCACCTCCAGTAAGAGACCGTTTTTGAATTTCCCCCTGCGTGGTCTCTTAATACATATTTTACTGTACTATTGCCCTGTCAGTGTATTAAGCGGGATCCTGGAATGAAATGTCAATATGCTCTTGAAAATTGCTGAACACCAAAATTTAAACATTTCAAATTAATACCTATTTAAACTCGGCATAAAATGATAGAATATGATACACAATTATTGAAAGGTTAAAATAGTCTGTACCCTCAGAAAATTGTTGAGAAGAAACATAAACAATTTTAACAAGTAGGCAATAACACAGTTGAAACATCGTTTACAATAGAGTTCACATACTACCATTAGTTTCTCATATCTAAAATTAGGGCATTGGCTATTTATCACGCTTACCACGCTAGAGGTAAATAGCCACTGCCCATAATTAGGATAGAAGTTAAAGTTTATTCTTACCACACCGTCTCCTTCTCGTTTTGTTATAACGAAGTTACGAGAGCCTTTACCCTTAGCAATGGCCATTCTTGCTTCTGATTCCTTTCGTTTCTTATCTCGCTCTTCCTTCTTCTTCTGTTCTTCCTCGGCCTTCCTCTTCTTACGCTCTTCCTACAACAGATTACACATTGTTCAGAAAACACAATTTCTTGTTTGCCATCTCATACCTTAAATTTCGGATAAAATTGTTGATCAAAACAACACCAAAAAGCACAAAAAAACATTTTAATGATTGTCTCACCATTTTATACAATTTCTTAATCTTTTCATTTTTTAAACAGTTTTTGTAAAGTGTAAATCAAACTATTACTTCTATTATATAATACATAATTAACAGACACACTTCAGGCGCCATCTTGTGATCCATGAATCTTTTCTAAAATGAAACTGAAATAAGATCAACTACTGATCAAGGTAGTCTAGTTAAGGTATAAGCCGAAGTTTGTAATAGCTTGACATTGTAAAGATGAAGTTTGTAATAGCTTGACATTGTGAAGATGTAGTATGTAATAGCTTGACATTGTGAAGATGAAGTTTGTAATAGCTTGACATTGTGAAGATGAAGTTTGTAATAGCTTGACATTGTGAAGATGAAGTTTGTAATAGCTTGACATTGTGAAGATGAAGTTTGTAATAGCTTGACATTGTGAAGATGAAGTATGTAATAGCTTGACATTGTGAAGATGAAGTTTGTAATAGCTTGACATTGTGAAGATGAAGATTGTAATAGCTTGACATTGTGAAGATGAAGATTGTAATAGCTTGACATTGTGAAGATGAAGTTTGTAATAGCTTGACATTGTGAAGATGAAGTTTGTAATAGCTTGACATTGTGAAGATGTGGGGTAAGAAGAAGGAGGCGAGGGTTGACATTTATGGAGATGGGCACAAACCTGTTCAGCTCTTTGTCTCTTTTCTTCAATCTCTCTCAATTCTGCCAATCTTAATTCTTCTTTTTGTCTTTCCAACTTTCTTTGTTCCTGAAAAATATAAACAATACGTAAATTACTTTTATCAAAAAATCCAGTCTTTGAGTTCTGTGGTTGGGATTCTGGTCAATGAATTGACAAGATGGTGTCACGGGCAATTCTTTCACTATGTACAATTGAATAAAAAAAAATGGACAGTGGATGGCCGGCCTAGGTTTTCTAAATTTTGTATGTGTATCAGGGACACTGATAGCATCAATTTGCTCCATTCCAATTTTCAATCAGACGTCTGTGGTTCCTGCAATTCCATTTAGATTAAACGTTTTTAGAAGAAGATTTAGAAAACCTCTTTTATAATTCTTTTAATAAAGAGACAAACATTAACACGAAACCTAACATGTAGATCTAAAGTAGTGCAGTTCATTTTGTGAAGGAGAACAAATTGTTCTAAGATTGTACAGTCAGAGACTGTTTGTTCCAGTTTATTTATTCAAGGTATTTAGAACGTACCCGCTTGATTCTTAGTGCTTCGAGTTCTTCCAGTTCCTTCTCCCTCTCCTCTTTTCTCATTTCTTCAAATTCAGCCAGTTCTTGTTCCATCTTCTCTCGTTTTCTTTCTTTAGCTTCCTGTAACATTACAGACACAAAATATTAAAACCGAAACTAAACATATCCAAAAACTCGGTTAATCCGAAACTAAACATATCCATAAAACTCGGTTAATCCGAAACTAAACATATCCAAAAAATTCGAAACTCGAAATCAACCACTTGTAAAGATAGCAAGTACTGTACTGTACTTGTCGACTTTCAATTCAACTGTATATATTTGTTTTACTTTAATCTCCTAAAGATTTAATTTTTCCTTTATATTTATGGTTTGACAATTTGCACATAATTCCGTTCTGAATCCTCCGATTTTCAATCAAATCACAATCTACTATGCTTTACAATCCCTTTCAAACAACAGATATTCCTTTACTCACCTCCATAGCCTTGCGGGCTTCATTGGAGTCGGCCCTAAAAATACAATAAATAAGGTTAATCAGGGTTCGATCTTATTCTTTTAAAGAGATACAGCCGTCTAAATATGCTTTTTATAGCAAATGAGCCGTAAGTAGGTTTTACACCAGTAGGTTGAATATTAGAATCTCTATAAGCTGGTAAAGCAAATATTTAAACGACTAGATCCCTTCAAACAGGATGATTTAGTATTAAAAAGGTTGACAATTAAAATTGATAACTAACGGTTAAATACCAGGGGCTTTTTGTTAATAAATACGTTATTTTTTACAACAAATGGAAGAAAAGTACAGCGAGGAGTTTTTTAAAGTGTGTCTAGGGTCTTTTCCCGAGATCAAAATTTCTAGCTGTCAATTATCTTTGACCGTAACAAATGAAATTAAATTGAAAGATGTCAAAAGATGCTGACAGATAAGGTCTGTGTTCTGTGCTTTGTACGATATCGATACCGATTTTAGACAAAAAAAAAATAAACCACGAAGTACGTGTTCTGGTACGAAACAGTTACCGATAGTTAACCTTTAATTTGCACCATGTTTTATCATGAATCTCTACTTTATGACCTCGGCCAGTGCTTTTATGAGACTATGTTCTCATCACCATCTAAAGACATACATTGCACAGGGCACATTACTTCTGTTAGCACCTTTAGGCGGATGTCTACCAAAACACTCGCTATATAAAGCCTATAAGCACCGGAAATTCCGTAAAACTTAGACCAAAAAAGAGGTCGCACTATCACCTACAAAGCTTAATGGTGTTCATCACATACAGGCGATGATGAATAGCGTGGATATCTCAAGCGAATGATGTCTACTTCATGTTCATTCGCCATTATCTAATAGCAAGCTAGAAAACAACTTCTAAATTCTTGATAACTACTGCCGATGATTATCAAACTAATATCAATTGTTGCCAAACTAATGGCAATGATTGTCAAACTAATATGAATGATTGTCAAACTAATCCCAATGATGGTCAAAGTAATCGCAAGGTTTGTCAAACTAATATGAAAGATTGTTAAACTAATTGCAAGGTTTGTCAAACTAACCACAAGGTTTGTAAAACTAATCTCAATGATTGTCAAACTAATTCCAATGATTGTCAAACTAATCTCAATAATTGTCAAACTAATGTCAAGGTTTGTCAAACTATTATGAATAATTGTCAAACTAATTCCAATGATTGTTAAACTAATATCACTGATTGTCAAACTAATATCAATGATTGTCTAACTAATCTCAATGATTGTCAAACTAATATCAATTGTTGTCAAACTAATGTCAATTGTTGTCAAACTTATCCGAATGATTGGCGAGCTAATATGAATGATTGTCAAACCAATCCAATAATTGTCAAACTAATCTAAATTATTGTCAACCTGATCTAAAATATTGTCAAACTAACTTCAATGATTGTCAAACTAACTTCATTGATTGTCATACTAATCCAATGATTGTCAAACTAATCTCAAGGTTTGTCAAACTAATATCAGTTGTTGTCAAACTAATATGAATGATTGTCAAACTAATCTCAATGATTGTCAAACTAATCTTAATGATTGTCAAACTAATGACAACGATTGTCAAACTAATGACAACGATTGTCAAACTAATGACAACGATTGTCAAACTAATGACTATGATTGTCTAACTAATATCAATGATTGTCAAACTAATCCTAGTGATTGTCAAACTAATATCAATGATTGTCAAACTAATATCAATGATGGTCAAACTAATGAAAACTAATATCAATGATTGTCAAACTAATCTTAGTGATTGTCAAACTAATTCAATGGTTGTTAAACTAATATCAATGATGGTCAAACTAATGAAAACTAATGACAAGAATTCGTCTACACTGTGATGACTTACTGAGAAGCTGGTTTCGACCTGAGAGACGGGAATAAATACATAAATTAGAAAATGATATTCTCAAATGGACAGGGGTCATTTCGAAGTTAACCTTCATCTGTACATACCCTATTGTTCGATTTCCATTTTTGCGAATCGGCCATTCTTTTCGCGAGATTTACCTTTTTAAATGCCGCACAAGCACTAACATCCTCCCGCCGTCCTGATATAAATATGGTGAAAGATAAGGGGAGGGGGTAGAACGTGTATAGATGAACAAAAATAGCAGGGGGAGGGAGGGGGGTGAGGGGTCGGAGGCTTTAGAGGGGAATTAGTGTTGTTAAATATGATACAACATCAACTGGTAGATATTATATTTGTGGGGTGATTTACTTATACAGATATACATATTTTGGTCGAGGTTTTTAAAGATTTGCCAGCCTCAGTAATGGGAGGTTGCGACTCCTGGACAAATGTTGACAGCCTCATTCATAACGAATGTGAAGTTGAGATGTCAAAGCTCAAGTCCAACTCATGACCACCAACCCCGAACCCTAAACACAAGTCTCACCAACAATTAAGAACCCCGAATCTTATCCCCACCTACAAACACAAATAACACCCCTCTTCTATTACATTGCTATAAAAAAATTGAGGAAGAAACCCCCATCCCAATTGATATAAAACATTGAAAAAAAAATGAATGAAAACTTACGCTGGTTCTTCATGATGAGACTGGTGAGGACTGTATGATGAAATAAAAACATGATTATTAGTTTTAGATACAGCCAATATACAAAATACAGCAATAAAATATACAGCCAATATTTAAAATATACAGCATATATACAAAATACAGCAAATATAAATAATTACAGCCAATTTTGTGCCATTGAAAATTCAAAATAAGCAAGAGAGTGCAGCTCGTATAGAAAGTCTTTGAAACTGATCATATCTGTCATATGAAGTTACAAAAATAAAGAAAAGAACAAAAAGAAAGGAGCTTCGTAGAATTGTTAACAGATCTAGTGCTCAAATATCAACAAAATATTTACATAAAATTACAAATAACAAACATAAAGAAATTCAAAAGAAGTTTTTTAGGGTTTTCACGTGTAGATCTTTATAACCTATATCTGCATCATTCACAGATTTGTGGTTGATTTTCCAAAAAATCGAAAATGTAGGTTTCCAAGACACATATACAGTGGTTGAAAAAACCTCTTTTGATTCCCTTGAAAGTTTATGTTTGTTTTAAGTTAAAGTAAAATTCGTGGAGGTAACATTTCACCCTGGGAATTGCAAGGTGGCAGTGACACACAAGGTAAAGGTTACAGGAGGAGTACCAAATAGTCAGAATGGGTAGAAACTACAGGATGTAGTCAGAAAGAAAAGTTGATCAAAGTTTCACAAGGCAGGGTTCCATGCCAGAAGTTTGACCAGATCAGATTGAATTTTCACAATGTCAAGTTATAATGAACTGTGTCTAATACCTTGACTGCATTAGCCACATTTGACAGGATTTTTCGTTTATAGATTAGGTATAGGTTACACGCCCCAAATATTGTGCTATAAAGGGTATAGGGTATAGGGTCACCAGGTTTTTACATGTAGTGGAAGGAATCGTGACAATGAACGTATATTATATATAATTGGATAATACGGCCGTGGTCACATCGTAAGAAATGGTTACAAGTAAGAGCGTTCTGCTGTTTTTTTTGTACATTAGTCAGTTCTATAGAGACTAAAGGATTGCAAATCAGCCTTGACTTTAAGATGTAAAGGATGGTAAATTTTGGGTCATCTGACTTGGAACTTAATAAGGTCAAACAATGACCCATGAACCACATTATAAAAACGTGAAATGGGTCACCAAGAAATTTCACGTAGTAACAGTTTCTTTAAAAGATTAAGATATGGTGGGCATCTGGGGTCAAGTGAGGTGAACTATAGACAGGGAATCACTATACAAATGGGTCACGAGGGTCACGTTGGTCACGTGGTTACTTACACGTGTTTTTCTTCCTCAGGTTCAGGTTGGGTTTCCTCCTCGCTATAAATAGAATGTTAGTTTGTTAACATTAGTATATATTATGAAATATTATAAATTATAGAAATAAAAAGCAATAAGCTCGGCTTCTTGAGAATGTCAAGGTATTACGTCTTCATTTTTTACTTCAACTGTGCAGAAAAGTAGGACGTAAAACTCTATTCATTTCATTTATATTTTAACTGCAATGGACCACTCTCTTGTTCCATTTGTGATACAGCAATTTAATTGGATTATACGCGAGAGAATACAGCCAATCTGAGAACTCGACAGACAAATTGTAAAAATAATTACGCATGAAATTGGGGGCTCTGATTGGCAATATTCTCTGGCGTATAATCCAATCAAATTTCTGTCTTCACCAACTTCCGTGAAACAAGAAAGTAGGCCATTGTAGACCAGATATAAGATGAAGACGTTAACCTTACTACTGTCAAGATGTAGGCTCGGAGGAACCGTGAATGTTATAGTAGTGGGGTTTAGAGGTAGGGTGGGGCTATCTCTACCCCACTCTCATAGATCCTCTGTCCATTGAGCCTACGATAGTATTGTTAAATATCAGCCAAAGATTCTTCAAGCAGAAATAAAGCTAGATGTATAAGTCGTTAAGAAGTATTAAAAGGTTATTATTTCATAAAAGAAAAGTAACGTTATATTCATATTGATATTGTTACAAAGGCATCAAAAACTCAAAATAACAAATTAGACCGATTACAGAACAGAGTCAGTGTGGATGGATACGAGGCTACCAAACAGAAAAACAAAGTAGATACTCTAGTCTTGTTGTGTATTATAACATGAAATTCGAGAGATTATTCATGTAAAATTATTTTAGCTTTTTGATTGAAGTTACCGACATGTGTTTCTGATACACAATTCTCATGATACTGTGTACCAGTATACGTCGTTTAAGATTCTATATCCACGTAAATTATGTAAGTTTATTGACTCCAGCTGATCTCATGCTACCGACACGTGTTTCGGACACGCAATCCTCGTCATGTAGTCTATTAATAGATAGTTTAAGAGATTATCATTAGCTTATCATGCTTGGTAGTATAGTTTTATAATAAAAAATGTTTTGAGAGAGATGGTTAACACTGTAAAACTCACCGAGATTCGTCGTCCGACATTTTGATCTTCTACTCTTCCTCTTCACACTCAGATAAAACCTGGAAATAGAAAATAACAATTTAGGTCAATCACACGTGCATTCTGTGTTTTGTTTTAATTGATCCAGTATGTTTCAAGAAGAGATATAGGACGAGGATTTCATTGTCCGGTCGGGCAACACTCTAAAGATAATTTCGAAGTAAAGAAGGAACAGGTTAACACTTTCAAGGGGTCCTTTTCAGTCCAATTGCATTAATTTCAGGCAAACCTGGTGTCGGATTGTAATAGTGAGAAAGTTAAAATCAATTGTTTGAAGTTGTATTTGCGAATACTTCAAGAAGAGAAGATGTAAATATTTTTGGGTATGGTAACATAATACATGTTTTAAACTGTACATACTAAACTAACCATCGATATAATAAACATTGTCTGTTTTAAACATATTACCAGCTATTATTGTTCTAGCAGAGTGACTCCAGATACAGAATAACAATATATAGTACAATAACATAGAACTATAATAGTCCAACACCTACATAGTTATCTTACAATACACAGTGACATTTTTATCAAACATTAGGTGCCGAGATGAGAGGAGGGAGGGGGGGGGGGCACACAGAATTATCGAAGGAGGCCAATAGCACCTATTAATACACGATGGACTTAATTGCAAATTTATAGACGCATTAAACGGAACTGTCTCCGTGAATTAGTCTCCAATCCATTGTCGTAAAAACCTTAGTCCTCCATTCATTGTCGTAAAAACCTTAGTCTCCCAACCATTGTCGTAAAAATACTTAGTCCTCCATCCATTGTCGTTAAAAACCTTGGGACCCCATCCATTGTCGTATAAACCTAGGCCCCCATCCATTGTCGTAAAAACCTTGGTCCTCCATCCATTGTCGTAAAAACCTTGGGCCCCCATCCATTGTCGTATAAACCTAGGCCCCCATCCATTGCCGTAAAAACCTTGGCCCCCATCCATTGTCGTTAAAAACCTTGGTCCTCCATCCATTGTCGTTAAAAACCTTGGCCCTCCATCATTGTCGTTAAAAACCTTGGCCCTCCATCATTGTCGTTAAAAACCTTGGTCCACCATCTATTGGCGTAAAAACCTTGGTCCACCATCTATTGGCGTAAAAAACCTTAGTCCCCCAACCTTGGCCACCCATACATTGTCGTAAAAACCAGGTCCCCATCCATTGTCGTAAAAACTTTGGTCCCCCATCTATTGTCGTAAAAACCTTAGTCTCCCATACATTGTCGTAAAAACCTTGGTCCTTCATCCATTGTCGTAAAAACCGTGGTCCTCCATCCATTGTCGTAAAAACCGTGGTCCCCCATCCATTGTCGTAAAAACCTCACATCTTATCAATGAATAGTTTCAGACGTGTTTAAGAAACGGTGGTTTTAAGAAATTCTGTAATAAAAGAATAAGTTCTGTTGCTACTGATAGTATACAGGAATCTAACGGTAAATTCTAGGTAGTGCTGGTAATAGTATATAGTTACACTGACCCGACAGCTGTCTGGTAGAGTAAACATGATTCTAATAACTCTATACTTACAGTTCTTATTCTCTTCCAGATCTCAGGTCTGATATCTCTACTGGGCTTATTTCATTATAATATTAATTAGACACACAATTAATTGATTTAACCCTTGACCCTACATCTAACCTGCGTTGCTTTATAAATATGTTTGTCAGTAGCGATGTAATTAAATGTTATCCCACACAAAGGCCCGTTATCTGTTTTTTTTTCTTTTGAAAGGAGGAGACGATAAAGATCAGTTCTTTGAACAACATTTAAAGCGAATTCTGCCAAACGTACACGAACTTTGTTTAAGTTCTTGTTGCTTCGTGCATGATATAATTCATCACTAGTACAAGCTATGGTGTATTTACCAGCTGGTATTATTTATATTTTCTACCCTAACTATCTATTGTCTAATTATATCTACACTGACAGGCTTGTAGCCAGATTTATTGTTCGCGAGGGAGGAGGAGGGGAAACCTCTACAAACGTATTTTATTGCCTTGTTGTATTTTTATATTCACTTAGAGATATTATGTAATGCATAACCATTGATTATTGGGGTAGTAATCAGGTTTCAGGGGGACAATCCGTTTTTTCGAGCGAAAGTGAGGGGGGGGCACGTATAATGAGGATCAGATTGAAACAGGTAAAAATGATGCCAGACTAGAGGATGTGTATTACATGGAACTGGGTGTATCGTGATAAGAGTAGAGGCTATAATTTAAATGTCAACATATCATATATCATATAACTTTATAGATATAGAAAGACTTAGGCTACTGTATATTCATACTCTGACCAGGATTCAAAAACTTCTTATCTGGGGTGGGGTGAGGTGGGGTGGGGGAGGGTGCATAGTCAATGGTCAAAACATGTTTATGATGAGTCTCTGATCCTAACTGATAGTATCCACAAAGTACTTTTGATATTAAAAATCACAGGTGATCCACTATGAATCGCTAAAACACTCGATTCCCTTACTAAGAACTTCTATCATCAAATGAAGCTAATTGCAATTCGCTTACAAAAACTATCATAGTTTAGCCGGTAAATTTCGTAGAATATTTCTGACAAGGTCATGACGTATTTCTCAGAACACCATATCATAACAGAAACGTCCATAGTGCAGAATACATTTTCAACTTGTTTTAAAAGTTTCTCGAGTTTTTATGTAAAGTTGGTCGGCCGTAAATTGAGTTTTAAATAAAAAATCAGTCGTCTTACCTTTTAATCGAAACAAAGATGGCGGCTGAGTGTAAAATTGGAATGTAGGTAGATATTAACGTGGAAAGCTGCCGGGGTATCAAAATGATAACATCCCAGTTGCCACCGTTACTATTAATTCTAACAACTCATTATATTGCTTGGGGATACAGGTCATTTTACCACAATGGTATCTTCCTAATCTAAAAACTTCAAACTGTTTAATTATGACACTTAATACCTTTAAACTGTTCAAATTTCATTAAAATTTTCTTCGTCAAAACTGTTAAATAGCTTTTTCAAAAATCAATTTCTGAAAATTTTCAGAGATGTTGTCCCCCCTCAGTGCCAAAATGAGATGATCTAAGAATGTATACAAGGAGTGTATAGAATACATTAGTACCTATTCCTTTTATAGGCAGAGGGTAAGACGAGATATAAATACTCAGAACGCGTGTAACGGTAGTTTCAGAAGTCTGTGGTACAAGATGCCGGCTCGTACTCTATATACCTGCCTGATAGCTGTTGATTCTGTATACCCCAGCCTGTTACAGTCTACTGTTCTAATATAAATGTTTATATCTGTTATTACAGTTTATCAATGGACTATAGAATTGGTCTTAAAGAGACATATCCATCTAATTTACTGAATTACTGAAATTCTGGTTCCTATCGAAGAAAATTTGATAGAATCTAGTTTCATGTCCTATTCTTTTGCACCAGATCGGCCTCATGCAGACGAGCAACGCCACGCAGTGTGCAAAAAGGGAAATCTTAGCAAGTCAGTGGCAGTAGCCTGCTCTTGTTCAATTTCCAACTGTCGGGGAATCTTTAACGTGCACAGCCTGTAGCACAAAGGGCCTCGGTTTATTGTCCCATCCAAACAACTAGAGGATTTTTCCATGTCAGTCCCTCGTACCTGCATCACTGACAGGGGGAAACCGGGTTGAAAAATATGTGTGTATCATCACTGACAGGGGGAAACCGGGTTGAAAAATATGTGTGTATCATCACTGACAGGGGGAAACCGGGTTGAAAAATATGTGTGTATCATCACTGACAGGGGGATAGAAGGAATATAATATTAGTATTCTATAAACTGGAGAAAAAGAATGAAATTTCATACTTTATAAATTAGGCCAGTCAATGCATAGTTAATAACGTACTACTATTACACGGCGCGACTTTGTCTGTTTCACTTTTAATTTCGAGAGAGCGTATTGGTGCAATATGAATTCACGACTCTGAGATACAGAGCTATAATCTATCTCCCTCCACTGTGTTGGTGAACGTAAAACTTTATTATATTTGCATCTTTTGGTGACTTGAATCTCGGGACTCGTCTCTTAGAATATAGGGTAACATGGAAAGGGGATTTCCAGTTAGCGGTGACTTTTCTATGGGTTTCGGAAGAAGGGGGTGGGGCTGTGAAGGAGTGTGTGTGTGGTGGGGGTGTATTAGGGTGAGGGGTGAAGCACTCCACTTTCAAACATCTTACAGTTTAACATAATGAAAGAAAAGCAATTAAATAAGTCTATGGTCTCTACTCTCCCGTCACTTGAATAATCATAGATACAATACTGTACCCGGTTTAATGAAAGAAATGACAGTTCTAATATAGATAAATAAATAACTTACTGGTATGATCTGTAATCCTGTCAGTGAGAACCTGGGTAGCTATAATATAAGTAAGATACAGGCTAGCTATAATATAGGTAAGGTACAAGGTAGCTAGCTAGTCCAAGGGTATAATAGAATATAATGTAAGGTACGAACTAGCCGATTGAAGCGACTTCAAGGTTAAAAGAACGATTAAATACCAGACTGGAGTAACAGGAGATCTAGTGAATGATTCTGACCTATAGATGTAATATGGTAGAGTGGGAGATAGAAACTCGGTTATTGAATAGGGGGGAGGGGGGAGGGGGGTGAATAGGGGGGGAATAATGCTGACCTCTAGTTAATATTGTATAAACCAAAACAGCGCTATGCAACATATCATATCAGCACTGACGAGAGTGCTGGGGGTGGGGTTATAGCCTGCTATACACTGTAGATAACGTCTAGGCGAGGGGTGGGGTTATAGCCTGCTATACACTGTAGATAACGTCTAAGCGAGGGGTGGGGTTATAGCCTGCTATACACTGTAAATAACGTCTAGGCGAGGGTGGGGTTATAGCCTGCTATACACTGTAAATAACGTCTAAGCGAGTGTGGGGTTATAGTCTGCTATACACTGTAAATAACGTCTAGGCGAGGGTGGGGTTATAGCCTGCTATACACTGTAAATAACGTCTAGGCGAGGGGTGGGGTTATAGCCTGCTATACACTGTAGATAACGTCTAGGCGAGGGGTGGGGTTATAGCCTGCTATACACTGTAGATAACGTCTAAGCGAGGGGTGGGGTTGTAGCCTGCTATACACTGTAAATAACGTCTAGGCGAGGGTGGGGTTATAGCCTGCTATACACTGTAAATAACGTCAAGGCGAGGGTGGGGTTATAGCCTGCTATACACTGTAGATAATGTCTAAGCGAGGGGTGGGGTTATAGCCTGCTATACACTGTAGATAACGTCTAGGCGAGGGTGGGGTTATAGCCTGCTATACACTGTAGATAACGTCTAAGCGAGGGGTGGGGTTATAGCCTGCTATACACTGTAAATAACGTCTAGGCGAGGGGTGGGGTTATAGCCTGCTATACACTGTAGATAACGTCTGAGCGAGGGGTGGGGTTATAGCCTGCTATACACTGTAAATAACGTCTAGGCGAGGGTGGGGTTATAGCTTGCTATACACTGTAGATAACGTCTAGGCGGTGGTGGGGTTATAGTCTGCTATACACCGTAAATAACGTCTAGGCGAGGGGTGGGGTTATAGCCTGCTATACACTGTAGATAACGTCTAGGCGAGGGTTAGGTTATAGCCTGCTATACACTGTAGATAACGTCTAGGCGAGGGTGGGGTTATAGCCTGCTATACACTGTAAATAACGTCTAGACAAGGGGATGAGGGCTTATACCATACACTGTAAATAACGTCAAGGCGAGGGGAGGTCTTATACCAATGCTATACACTGTAAATAACGTCTAGGCGAGGGGATGAGGGCTTATACCATACACTGTAAATAACGTCGAGACAAGTGGATGAGGGCTTATACCATACACTGTAAATAACGTCGAGACAAGTGGATGAGGTCTTATACCAATGCTATACACTGTAAATAACGTCTAGGCGAGGGGATGAGGACTTATACCATACACTGTAAATAACGTCGAGACAAGTGGATGAGGACTTATACCATACACTGTAAATAACGTCTAGGCGAGGGGATGAGGGCTTATACCATACACTGTAAATAACGTCGAGACAAGTGGATGAGGTCTTATACCATACACTGTAAATAACGTCGAGACAAGTGGATGAGGTCTTATACCAATGATATACACTGTAAATAACGTCGAGACAAGTGGATGAGGACTTATACCAATGATATACACTGTAAATAACGTCGAGACAAGTGGATGAGGACTTATACCAATGATATACACCATGTCAAATTATTATTGTTTATTTATTTATTAATATCAAATACAGTGTTTTATAAACAAGAGAAAATATGAGAATCACATTTGGAAGATCCGACTGGTTCACAGATACCTGAAAAATAAAATTCAAAAACCTACAAAAATCATTAAAATGTTCGACATTGATACTATTGTTTATGGCCGAGTTTATACTGTATAGGTCTCTGACTGTGATTCATGAATCTGAGAATCACAGGGTGTCAAATCCTATCTAGTGGAAATTGTACCGTATATTGTAGCTGATGTTACCTGGATGTCCAGTTGGACTTGCTAACTGGTGATTATTGCTTGGGGTCCATAAACAATTGGGATCGCCTAATTCTGCTCCGTTAGAAACTCCATCCCCATCCGAATCGTGTTTACATAACTCTGAATTCCATTGATGGATTCCAATCGTTCGGAAATCCTGAAAGAGAGGAAACGGAAACGAAACCAAATTGCATTAAAATCAGATGGAAACTGTAGTCTCTTTAGCGTTCTGAAACAAATTGTGGCGCAATTTTACTGCGTAATAACACCAAAACTGTTCATCGAAAAATCGTCAAATTCGATCTGGACCATTTTCTTATCGATATAAATAATCACACCAAATTCTTCCCGTTTTGTTTTTTTTATTCGGGTTACTGCAAAATCTATCCATGATCTGACAAGGTTCGGTCTTAATTTGTGTTCTATCTCTTATCATCTAAATAACAGAAGTAGATGTGATACTTACTTCACCAAAGGAATTTAATAATCCAGCGCCTTTCGAGTTCCAATGTCCTACTCCGTTCCAGATAGTATTATCACATGGGTTTCTCACTCTATCTCCATTGGGAATCTTGTTCTGATTCACCTTATTGGAATATACCACGACAATATACACCACCAACAACAGAATACACCTCATTTTCTAACTTTCAAATATTCCTTTAATAAATGGCTCCCTGAGAGAGATTATGTGGTTAACAAAGGACAAAGGATCGCCAGATAAATATTGACCTTTATTTTTTATCAAACGTGACAAGATAGCCAGCATAATCTCAGCCTTCCTCGCCAATCCTACCAATCATAATGTCTGACCAGGGACCGAAAAGGTGACCACAGTATAATTTTCTGTACACTTCTTGACATTGTAGATTTGTCTAAGTGGCTGTAAAGACTTGTGTCGTCATGTATAGTAAACCATATCTATAATTTCAGGATGCAAATATAAGCCATAATACATATCAAAACTTAGCTTTTCAACCAAAGGGACATGTCCAACCAGAGATCGTGTCTCGTATCCAATTCTAGTCTCTGGGGAGATCGCTAAATTCGATTTGGGGACACATACAAATATAGGTTGAAAACCACCGCATTAAAAGTTAAATAAAAAAAACTTTAATACACTGCCTTAGACAGGAAATATACACAATATATTTCAAAACCTCATAATTTTTAAAAGAAAACAAAATCTTACTAAAAAATAGTTTATTATAAAACAAATACACTACCAGTACCCCTTCTTAGAGTGAATGGTGGTAGGACAAATGTTTAGAATTTGTATGGATTACAGGACCGATTGACATTAATCATGACTGCAAAACATTCTCTTTTTCAGTATTTGTAAGGGATATGGTGAAAATACTGCATAAAGATGAAACACGCCGTTAGACACACCAGCGGTATATTGGCAGATAGTTATAACGCAATAGTACTTAGTAATGGCAGCGTCCAAGGAATTATGCAAAATAGTAAGGCAATATTGCTTTGGTGCTTGAAACCATTCTTTTATTATCAGTTTAAAATGGATGATTGACGGGGGATGGGCGGGGCTACTCTGGTGATTACTTTTTCCTAATCATTGTTATGAATTATAAAATATAAATATTAAAGAATTTCAACCCAAAGAAAAAATCTGTTGAAATGATTTATCTTTAACCAACACCTGGGGATTTTAATTTCTTTAACCGTGATGGTGGTGAGAACCAAATAGATTTTGACAATCAAACTGCTGGTGACTACAAGCTGGAGATCCAACTGGTTCACAAATACCTGCAATTAGAAAACAAATCATAGGTATAATAATGGGCATAAAAAATCAAATGCCTTGCGCATCAGATTGTATAACAATTGAAATAAAGTAAAGCTATTATAACCATCCGCAACCACCCGCATCTCGACCTCCATTATTGAAGTTATCTGTTCATTGAAAGTTGAATGTCTTAGATATTACGATTTCACTCCGGTCGTAACGGGTTGTAGATTATAAAGTTACATATCTGGATCAATTGTAACTGGTTATAGATACCTGTAACGGGTTATAGATACCTGTAACGGGCTGTAGATTATACAGTTACATATGTGGATGACCTGTACCGGGTTGTAGATTACAAAGTTACATATCTGGGTGACCTGTAACGGATTGTAGATGCCTGTAACGTGTTGTAGATTATAAAGTTACATACCTGTTTGACCTGTAACGGGTTGTAGATTATAACGTTACATACCTAGGTGACCTGTAACGGGTTGTAGATTATAAAGATACATACCTAGATGACCTGTATCGGGTTGTAGATAATAAAGTTACATACCTAGATGACCTGTATCGGGTTGTAGATTATAAAGTTACATACCTGGGTGACCTGTAACGGGTTGTAGATTATAAAGTTACATACCTAGATGACCTGTAACGGGTTGTAGATTATAAAGTTACATACCTAGATGACCTGTATCGGGTTGTAGATTATAAAGTTACATACCTAGATGACCTGTAACGGGTTGTAGATTATAAAGTTATATACCTAGATGACCTGTATCGGGTTGTAGATTATAAAGTTACATACCTGGGTGACCTGTAACGGGTTGTAGATTATAAAGTTACATACCTAGATGACCTGTATCGGGTTGTAGATTATAAAGTTACATACTTAGATGACCTGTATCGGGTTGTAGATTATAAAGTTACATACCTAGATGACCTGTATCGGGTTGTAGATTATAAAGTTACATACCTAGATGACCTGTATCGGGTTGTAGATTATAAAGTTACATACCTAGATGACCTGTATCGGGTTGTAGATTATAAAGATACATACCTGGGTTACCTGTAACGGTTTGTAGTTTATAAAGTGATATACCTAGATGACCTGTATCGGGTTGTAGATTATAAAGTTACATACCTAGATGACCTGTAACGGTTTGTAGATTATAAAGATACATACCTGGGTTACCTGTAACGGATTGTAGATGCCTGTAACGGGTTGTAGATTATAAAGTAACATACCTGGGTGACCTGTAACGGCTTGTAGATTATGGCTACCATGTTCAGACCAGATACAAGAAGGGTCACCTAATTCAGCACCATTTGATTTGCCATCACCATCTGAATCTTTCTCACATAAAGCTTTGTTCCAGTGTTTGTCTCCAACGTGTTTGAAGTCCTGGAAATAAACGATGTTATCATAATCAACAATATTTTAACACCCAAAAACTGTTTTTTGTAACTTATCGGGTAAAAATGGAGTATGTTTCCAAATATGTCAGGCTTATCTTCGAAGATTTATCAAGTTCTAATAATATTGTAAATTCGTTCTTGGTTTTTCTTTGTGATCGTAGTGATACCATAGGTGTTTGTATGGGATAAGAGGGGAGGGGGGGGGGGGGGGGTGCGAGCACGGGGGACCATGTCCCCTCTTCAGAACAGAGGCCAGGCTTTGCCCCCCTCCCCACTTTCAATTTTTTTTAATCAATTTACATAGCGAAAGCATAGCCTGTGGCCTCCTGGGAAAATTTGGTGGTCCCTGCTCGGCCTCCTCAGCTAATTTTTCCTAAAAACGCAATTATGAGTTATAGTTTTAAGAATGTCATATACTTACTACTATTAAAAACGAACCCTGTTTATAAAATCTTTTTACCGTAATAGAGAGTAGATAGATATTTATTGACATATAAAACAGATCTATGAATATTCCTGATTTTATTGGCATCTTTAGAAAAAGAAAATTTTGTCACGGGTTATATTCACTTTAAAATAAGTTATCAAGCCTCTCTGTAGAAGGTAATTAAAATCCGTACCAGCATGACAATTCTGTCAATCAAAAATCTCGTCCAAAGAATGGCAAAATCGAGAGTAAATGTTGCATAGTAGTGGACTACTCCAAAGAAAAGTACCATCAGGTGTTTCAAAAAGAGTAGGGTAATGTTTGTAACATCGAATACGTTTTATATAACTGCAGGTTCATTATTTTAATTCTTAGAGTGATTAAGTTTCTTGTATTTGTTTTTAAATTATAGTTGATGAGAAAGCAAATATTGAGACGACTTCGATCATTTGATTTCAGGATCTTCAAAAATCAATACCGTCAAGATTAAGCTAAGAAAAGAAGAAGCAAAGATAATCCATCTTTACAATGTCAGGGTATTACAAACTGTATCTTAAACCTTGACTGCAATAGCCACCTTTTTTGTAACACGAAAGTTTGTTAATGTAACAATTTGATTTGTTTGTACGCTTGCACATACTCTGATTGGTAGTATTCTCTTGCATACAATCCAATCAAATCGCTGCATCCCGTGATGCATTCAAGGTATAAGACGCAGAGTTTGATATTGCAAATACATCAATCAAACTACCAACAACTACCTAGTTTGTGATATCAGCATCCGCTGGAAGCGAACGTTAACTTGTCATCTACCACCAACTACCGAGTTTGCGATGTCAGTTAGCTGGAAGTGAACGTTAACTTGTCATCTACCAACAACTACCTAGTCTGTGATATCAGCATCCACTGGAAGCGAACGTTAACTTGTCATCTACCAACAACTACCTAGTCTGTGATATCAGCATCCGCTAAAAGCGAACGTTAACTTGTCATCTACCACCAACTACCTAGTTTACGATATCAGTTAGCTGGAAGTGAACGTTAAGTTTTCATCTACCAACAACTACCTAGTCTGTGATATCAGCATCCACTGGAAGCGAACGTTAACTTGTCATCTACCAACACATACCTAGTTTGCGATATCAGCATCCGTTGAAAGCGAACGTTAACTTGTCATCTACCAACAACTACCTAGTTTGCGATATCAGCATCCGCTGAAAGCGAACGTTAACTTGTCATCTACCAACAACTACCTAGTTTGCGATATCAGCATCCGTTGAAAGCGAACGTTAACTTGTCATCTGCCAACAACTACCTAGTTTGCGATATCAGCATCCGCTGAAAGCGAACGTTAACTTGTCATCTACCAACAACTACCTAGTTTGCGATATCAGCATCCGCTGAAAGCGAGCGTTAACTTGTCATCTACATACCAACCAATTGCAAATACTTCAGTTACCTCTCCAAAAGGATTTTCTCCATCTTTGCCTTCTGTAGCATCAGTGTGTCCTATAGCAATCCATTTGGACTGATCACAAGGATTTTTCACATTGAAGCTATTAGGAATATGTTTCATGTATTTTTCTTTTGACTGAACCAGCGCCACACCAACAACAACACTCAATAAAATGGTTCTGATCATCTTGGAAATTAAATCTGATTTTGAATCACGACCTTGAGTCAATATATAGGGCCCCAAAATACCCCAAATGCCCTAATATGGTTTATCTAAGGGTAAAAAATAAGAGTTTTTGAGTGGGTCACGTACACAGTCTATGATACCTGTATCAATGTTGTAATCTTATCAGCGATTAAACCAATTGGAACCTGCTGGTTGAACTAAATACCTGTAAAACCAAGGAGTCCTACTCTTTATAGAGATATAGTCGTGTAAATATTTATTGATAGATGTTTAATGATCTATCTTGTTTAAAGTATACATCATTATCAATAAAAAGATGGCACCGTGGTTCATTGTGTCCAAGTAGCTTCGTATAAGTCGATGTATTTATTTTTCAAACAATCGTAAGACACTTGTCCCCTCCGATGTGATACCTGTATTCATAATTTTAACGAGTTTCGTTCGAGTGCTCATAATTACAAAACAAACCATTATGTACAAGCATGTTGATTGGTCGGATTGAAAATCAATTGACAGCATGAATATTTATAACCTCGGCCCTCACGAGGTAAAATGTTGTATTAATCATACCTAAGTTTCAGAAACAGGAATTTTTTTGGCTTACATAATCAGTAATAGTGTTTACAGCCCATCATCGAAATTTGAGCCTTCAAATCCATGTGTATCTATAAATATTCATGTTTAATAGTTGACTTGAATTATAGTGAGACTATGCCATATATAGAAATCACATATATAGAAATAGACAGTGAAATTTCTAGTTTGAGGTATATTTGAAGGGATTATGTGATTTTCGTGTGTTTTAGTACTTCTTAAGACTATTAAGCGCAATAAAGACCCAAATCAATCCCCGAAAATGTCGACTGTTCCCTTTAAGAAACTTTTTCAGTGCGAGGGTCATACAAGAGTGAGTCAAGCGTGCGAAATTTGACATACAGAGACAGCAGACGAGGTAGATAAAAATGCAGACGATAGTTTTAAAAAGTACAGATAAGTAAAAGCAAAAGAGATAACAAGACAATTGCTCGAATTAAGACAAAGATTTGGACAAATGACAACTTGGCATGTGTTATTTTAGATTTTCTCCAGCTGCTCTGAGGGGGTTAACTGTTATCTGACGTGACACAATTAAATGGGCTTTACGTGTCCGATAAGAACTAGGACTCACTTGAACGTGTACATGATTATGTTCTGATTATTAACGTTTTATTCAAATCAAATAAATAGATCCAAGAATCGTTCCAATGTTAAATTATAATCAAAATATCTGTGTACAATGTACAATGTAAATGTGAACTGGGAGTCTTCTCTAAAACGGACCCCACTGAAAATATTATTTTTTTCAACTTTCTGCAGTCATTAATTCATTTAAAGTAAAATTTTACTGCTAGTAGGGGCTTATTGCGTCAGCTATTGTACGAGGTGCGTTCGTTTAGTTGTTGCAACTTTTTGTACGTGCTGTTAGCTAACAACAAACGTGTTTTATCTTCAAACACCGCTAATCAATAATCTCTAGTCTTCATATATGATATAATAATATACAAATCTTAATATAGCCCCAGATTAAGTTTGGCCTAGTTTCTGAGATATAGATACACGTGTTAACTCCGTGAAGTCTTCGAACAGTTGTGTGAAGGAATGTAGTGTTCGAAAGAATGTGCTTAATCGAATCTGAGAGAAAGCAGAAAAGAGTAACCCCCAAGAGACGTAACTCATACCGGAAGTAAGTGTGTTTACAATAAAGAACACATTTTTCAAGAAATTTACTATTTTGAAGTCACATTACCTAATTTCTAGCCTCTTTTATTTCATTTTCAGTTGTTAAGTAAGAGGTTAGTGGATATTTATCGAAAATAGCCCCTCTTTTGTTTTATTCGATCTATCATACCAATCAAATTTATCATTTATCACTAATGTCGTGCAGACAGAGCATAGTTTTTACTATTATTTTAATTTTTAAGTAGATCTAGATATTTCAATTCATATGAGAATAAATGGCAAAATACGTTTCTGTAAAATCTGAAAATAAATTTTAGTCACAGGGAAGTTATTGGTGCAAAGTTGTTGCTAATAGCTTTTACTACTTTTTTGTCTCCTATTTCCATCATGTTGCTCCCTATATGATGTTTTACATATTTCTCTTAAATCTGAATATGAAAATTAGTCACAGTGAAGCTATTGAGAAAGAATTGTGGCTGAGCTTTGCTTTATCACTTACTATTTCCATCATCTTGTTTCAGAAGTCTGTTGATCAGTAAAGATGATTATCCCTATTCGATGTTTTACCTGTGGTAAAGTTATTGGTAATAAATGGGAGGCGTATATTGGACTATTACAAGTTGAATATACTGAAGGGTAGGTATCAGTTCTTCAACCTTACATTTATTACACACATTGATAAGAACATTATGAATAATATTTGCTGTGTGAACTCTCAGACAGTAGTGACGCTGGGTTTTGGGCAGTGGCTCAATTAGAGGATTGGGAGCCTGTGGACTTTAGGCCCCTCCCTTGGAGATGTTTTTTTAACATATGCTCCCCTGCATTCTGAGACCCCTTTGTAAGTCAATTTCATGTCCTTGGTATAGATCCCCAGCATAACTTGTGAACCATTTTAAATTGTGTGTTAACTTTTAGATACTCTCTTTGGTAGATTGATTACATTTTGTACTTTTTCTCTGGGGGTGGTGGCCTGTGGACTTGGTTCAAACAGTACTTATGATAGTTGAGCCACTGGTTTTGGGATGAAATTAGGTAGATTCATGTATTTTATTATAAATGGTCTTGAGGATTTCTGTATTTGATATTTAAAGCTGAATTAATTTATATTAATTTGATTATGTTTATTTTCAGGGATGCGTTAGATGCTTTAGGTTTAAAGAGATATTGTTGTCGAAGAATGTTACTGTCTCACGTTGATCTGATTGAAAAACTCTTGAATTACGCTCCACTTGAAAAATAGACAACTCACAGTTACTGGTGCTGCCTCTAGCGCTGGGAATAGATGAGATACAGTGTATGGTGCGAGATTGTTGATACAGTAGAACCTAGAAGAAGTGATGTGTATCTTGTCTGGACCTATATTTCATGTGTGTGCTTCTTATATTTAATGATTAAAGAAATAAATCATGTCCACCTTATATCTGGACCTGTATTCGTTTTTTCTATTTTCTACTGTATAATCATGTTTACAGCAACAGACACTCTTTCTTGTCTGTTCCCACCTATAGAACCTGGTAAATCTAAAATCCACAAAACAGATTGAAAGACTTTATTCATTCCAACTTCTGGTACAGTAACTGATCGTTACTGAGAAATCGGTAAAAGAAATGAGACTATGTTAGTTAGAAGATATCGCCAATTTGCCAGATAATGTGATCCCTATCAGGCACAATGGACAATTTGGTTTTTGATGAGGCTTTTGATTTTGAAATGAGTTTGCTACTTCATTGTTTATAATATCAACAATTGATTAGTCAACAATACTTGTCTATTTTTCATCATATTCATTTTGTAAATAAATCATATTTTCCAAACATGTATATCGTTGTTATTTAAACCTCAAAGAAAGATGCCTACACAGCTACACGTCACTGGCAACTGTCCATTCTGAAATTTAAATTGATAACTTGGTCATACAAATCAAGAAAGCAACAGTATTTATACAGTCAATGGTATAACCTTCTATAACAACGCTTAGCCTTGGTCAATTCAAGATATATGTGTTTGAAATATGTCGGAGCTGTGCTTTGCAGACAACTTGCCTGAAAAATCCACTGAGCATGACTGTGTTCATTGGTGACACATCATATCATAAAACCGGGTTATTTTCGCCACCTTGCCACCCTGTTACTACGGTCCCGAAATCCATTTCGGCATACGAACATTTCCCACCCTTGTTTGTGTCATCAACGTATCGTATATCATAGCAATGGATTTAATGACCGCCAATACGATTTAATTACTGTAGTCTGTAGTATAATTTTGTAGTTATTTCCCTTTGATTTAAATGTAAACTTATAATGTCTCCGCAACTAATCACTAAAGATTATATATTAAAGCTACCATTATCAGTGAAACGCAACTAACCCTGAAATTTTTTTAATGATTGTTTGATTTAGGCCTTCTTGTTGGTTCTTATTTGTGTACAATCGCATCGAATGGTTTCTTATCTTTTCCCTTTCAAAGCGCATTAGGCGTTATAGATAATAATATACTGAATAACTTCTATTTCTTTGTTACTATCAAAATTATTATAAATCAAATTTACAAATATTGACATTGCAATATGTAACGAGCTAACAGAAGCAATACGGGGAATCTTATGGTACTGCGAATCCAGCGTTCCCTTAATTTCAACGAGTGGGCAATTACTGCGAGAGATCGTGTCAAACCGGTTTGACGAGTTTTATCATTTTATTTTCTATTTTAAGGTTTGACCTATAGTCTGATAGTTTAATATTCGATGTGTTTTAACTGATTTGTATTTTCGTGTATTGTATTTGAAAGAGTTCGATATTCTTGGAGATTTTCGAGTAATCGGTAAGATATATTACTTCCTGTGTTGTGTATTTTTCAACGTTGAAATATTGTTTGAAGTGTCTCATATAAAAGAGGGATCTCTCTCACTCTCTCGGCCCTAATAGCAATACAGGAATAGGTTTTATAGGTTTTATTAAGAATAGTTGTTACACACACTTACAGTAAAATCTGGTATGTTTATTCCTATTTTATTTCATCTATCTGTAATTTACCAAATGGGACCCGATTAACAGTCGTCAATGGTGTGTTGAGTTCAAATTAATTAGTCTGATTAATTCACGAGTTCTATAACAGATTGAATAGAAGGGATTGGAAGGGTTGAGAGTCTAGGGAGAATTGGGTTTAGGGGAGGGATTAAGGGTCACATGATTATCCAGGGGTGGGAGGTAGTGGCTCGTCTCACAGCACCAGACATTTAACTGAATGTTTTGAAATTTGAGATTGTCCGACCCAGCCACAGTTCTTTCGCATTTCCCCACCCAGCTTCCTCTTCCCACTCCCTCCAAATCGTCACTGATTCACCGAGCTAACAATCGGCAGCACTGGCCATGGCGTCATAAATGATTGAAAAATATCAATTTGCAAAGTTCTAAGAGATACTTTTTTAAAAATAAACTAAACGTAGAATACTTCTATTATTACAAAATATTTTACCAAATAACAATAGGGTCATTGGCAGTCAAACTTATATTTTGTAATTTCCAAATCGTCCTATTGAATGTGATTCTTTATTAACCACGTTTCTGTACCTGTATTATTTGTAATGTCGACGTTGTACACGATTTCTTACGTATAAATTATTCTTGCCCTCTTCGTAATCATACTTTTTAAATACCTATTTTTACACAAAGCAGTCTTGAAACTCAATTATATAAAGTAAATATTTTTCTTTTTCAGAACACAATGGCGAGCGAATCAGCCTTCAAAATAGTTAAAATTCTTTTTATTTTTCTGAATGTTTTATTCTTTGTAAGTAAAATTTTGATGGTTTGTCTAAACAGAGGAATAACTCCAAATAATCAAGAATAAACCGCAAACGGCATTAATTCATATATCTTGATACTTGGAAGGGAAGTTATTGCGAAATCATAAATTTACACAGATAGTGGATTCTTATTTGCATATCATTTGCATTTATGCTAATTACAGGAGTCTTAGTATGACGTCACTAATCGCAAACTATACATGTATCGCATAAGGCCTTTCGCGGTTAGTGACGTCACCAAACACTTAGTTTCGATGGAATTGCAGGAATCACAGACTTCTGATTAAAAATTGGAATGGTACATATTGATGCTATCATTGTCACCGATACACATGATTTTATTTTAGAAAACCTCTTTACAATCCCTTTAAATTAATGTAATTTGTAGTTAATGGGCGTGGCTATGGTGGGAATTGGAATCTATGTACAGATAACTCAGTCCAACTTCCTGGCTCTACTACCCAAATATGAGTACGTGAATGTGGTCGGAGTAATGATCGCCGCTGGTATTATAGTCTTAGTGGTGACGTTTATTGGTTTCTGTGGAGCCTGGATGGAAAGCCAGTGTATGCTTATTATTGTGAGTATTAGGACGTAAAACTCCCTTAGATTTCTTTAGCCAGTTTCCCCTGTCAGTGATACAGGTAAAAGGGGCTGACACCAAGGAGTATAGATTAATCTAGTAGTTCGGATGGGACAATAAACCGAGGCCCCGTGTGCTACAGGCTGTGCACTTTGAAGATCCCTCGACACTTGGAAATCGAAAAGAGCAGGCTAATGCTGCTCATTGTACCCTGCATGGTGTTGCACATCTTCATTAGCCCACATGATGCAGAATAGTAAAACGTAAGCTCCATTCATTTTTTTTCATTTTTTTTTATTTTCTATCTGATTAAAATGAAGATCTGGATGTTTAGTTTCGTGATTTTTCTGCAGATTATTTCACTTGTCATCTATGATCTAACTACATATGTTGACCAAATAGCATCAAAAATTAAGCAATCAAAACCACCGTTAGAAGCGGTTAGATAATACATTGGTCGAATAGCAAACGTGTGATAAAAGGTTTTCAATATACCGATGCCCCGAGTAATCCCACCGTCCCGGTAAATTTTAATTAAATAACTCAAAATATTGCACCCATCTCAGCCCAACTTACTTTACGTGTAACTCCGTTTTATTTCTCGATATTGATATCTATTTTTCAGTATTTTACAGCAGTATTGGTAGTATTTGCTCTAGAAATTGCAGTTGGTATAATTGGTTTTATCTACAGAGACGAGGTAAGGTGTTTTAAACTGAGTGCTCGAATCAAAACTTACAACCTCTCACAATACCAGCACTTAAATCCTTCAACTACATCTCTCATGTAAACAATAACTAACTCTTCAGGTGGATATAAACTACGTAAGGTGTCCAGTGCCGCTATAATCACACATAATAATGGATATATAATCATGCGGCCGCAATAAGATGCTCAGTGGGAAGGCTGTTGCTGTTTTGTTAGGAACCATAAGATAACCCCCCCCCCCCCCCCCAAAAAAAAACTTCTCCTACAACAATTGTCCACACCCCGACACCCCTAGGGAGTGGAAACACCCCTAGAGAGTGGAAACACTCCACGTTGGGAACCAGGGTAATAGATTGATATTGTGAAGATGAAAAGTTGTAACAATGATTATTTGATAACCCTTGGTTTCTTTCTCATCATGATTATCAATATGTTATTTATTATAACAGATAGATGGTACATTAGAGAATCAACTGTTGCAAGGTTTAAAAGATCCAGAACGAAGAGGATCATGGGATATTATTCAAAAACAGGTATGTGATGAGTCATTACCGCCATTTTAAAATTTGTTACCTTGCACAGAGTGTGGCATTGCAAAGTAGCTAAAAGTTCACCGAAAAGAGAAAACTAATATTATCTGAAACATCATTCTGAATCATTCTGACAACCGACTAGTTCCATTACTGTAAGTCCATACACAATTACTCCCTCTGGGTATATTACTTGCCCCTCCGAACGATCAATTCTGGCTTCGGGCTTGCAATTGATTTCCCGCCACAGAATTATCTCTGTCACAGAAGGTAATCTCTTGACATGTAGAGAAACTCTATATTTTGACCCTGACGATGGATTTGATATTCGAAATATTTGAAATGGCAGCAACATTCACCCTGGGAAGTGAACCATGAATTATTAAATGAGATATGAGTGAAGCAAACACAGGATGAAACGAAATTCTGAACATTTCAGTGGTTCTTTACAACATGTATAGATAATCTAATGTTAACCACCCAATTGTATGGGTGTTGTATTGTATGTATGTTTCAAATCACCATCCACATAACACGTGTTTCAAATCATCATCCACATAACACGTGTTTCATACCACCATCCACATAACACGTGTTTCAAATCATCATCCACATAACACGTGTTTCATACCACCATCCACATAACACGTGTTTCAAATCATCATCCACATAACACGTGTTTCAAATCATCATCCACATAACACGTGTTTCATACCACCATCCACATAACACGTGTTTCAAATCATCATCCACATAACACGTGTTTCACACCACCATCTACATAACACGTGTTTCACACTATTATTTTGTTGATAGTTTCGATGTTGTGGTGTAAACAGTGCAAGTGACTGGCAAACCGATGCTTCTAGTTCAGTTCCTGATTCTTGCTGCCAGTACCGGGGCTGTGGTACGACTGGAATGGCCAATGCTTATAGATCGGTGAGTTATCGTTCTTTATTAGTTTCCATTAGTCACGGGAATCATTTCCTCGTCCCACATCAGTTTTCATTGGATATCCGATATCAAAGGTCAAAGTGAATTATTAGTTAGGACATCAGTTATTGTCAAAAAGGGAAATCACAAGCAATACCTACCCTGTATGAAATGAAAGGAAAATTGAGTTTACGGGGGTGTGGGATCTAGCAAAGGGTCAATCTGATTGAAATATCGATTTGGATGTTTCGTTCCGTGTCTTAAATGCGGATCACTTCACTTTTACTCACAGAAATAAAAAAGAATACGAAACATTCGATCAGATTGAGACACCTCGCGTTGAATAATCTTACCTTCAGGCTTGTAAAATCATTCCTAATTGTCCATGGATCAGTTGAATATATATTAATATACAGATAGGACAATATGGCAGATCAGTTGAATATATATTAATATACAGATAGGACAATATGGCAGATCAGTTGAATATATATTAATATACAGATAGGACAATATGGCAGATCAGTTGAATATATATTAATATACAGATAGGACAATATGGCAGATCAGTTGAATATATATTAATATACAGATAGGACAATATGGCAGATCAGTTGAATATATATTAATATACAGATAGGACAATATGGCAGATCAGTTGAATATATATTAATATACAGATAGGACAATATGGCAGATCAGTTGAATATATATTAATATACAGATAGGACAATATGGCAGATCAGTTGAATATATATTAATATACAGATAGGACATGGCAGATCAGTTGAATATATATTAATATACAGATAGGACAATATGGCAGATCAGTTGAATATATATTAATATACAGATAGGACAATATGGCAGATCAGTTTGGGGTCAAGGATCAACTGGTAGAAACTGATTATTGTACAATATTGATGCTTTTTTGCTTTAATCGTATGGAAAGGTATTAAACTCCAAACTAGACTATGTATTAAGCTTTTGATAGGAGAAATGATATTCCTAGTTGAGTCCCACAGTGACCACTTACCAGCTCGCCATTTACTTGTTATTGAGTGAATAAAACCACACAGAAAGCATTATCCGTATTAACAACTTTATTTTATAGTAAAATTATGTGCAAATATCTCTTTTCTCAATTTTCATTTGAATATAAAGTTTTAAAATGAATTTAATTTCTATCTAAGGCTCATAAAGAGGTTTGTATAACGACAAGTTTATATTTTAATCTAATACTACTCAATGTTGTGGTACATTATATTTGTCTACGTTTATTTTGGATTGGGCGTCGCTGTAAACGATGCACGATGTTTAATTGTTTGATGTATTGAAGGCAATACTGTACTTCCCTTTTTCTTTTCACAGAAAGTCGAGAATGTTAGGGATACTTTCACCTACGTTTTTACAGACCATTAAATTTATTTATTGTGGAAAGGGAAAGTCTCAAACAAAGCCTGACCTGCTTTGGAACTAAAAGAGCTCCAGCATTGCCTTTACTTGTAGAGTGTTTACGTATTTTATGTGTCTTTGCTCAAATTTGTTTCATTTCCTTCTGTGAGTAACTTCGCCCATCCTTGCCTTGGTTAAGGTAGGAGGCACGAAGCAAACTTTTGAGTGTGTAATTGAACCAGATAGTGTCTGGTAGTGACATCTATCGTGTTATGTAACGATGTCATGTATTTTGTTATTATTGTTATAATTATGTTTATTAAAAACCCAGTCTAATTAAAATGAGACCTAACTTCCCTTCGTATTTTATTAATTTCGTTTCGAATGTTTTATTAGCTATTAGCTTTGTACGTTGCCATTACAGTAAGGTCTTACATTGTCCTTCATTCTGTTAACTTCTTTGCTTGACCTCTGTTTTAACCAATCACGTGGCTGCCCTTTCCAGCGACGGGATAATGTGACGCGAACAATAGGTGCATTCCGAGGCAGATTAGACTAGCTTATCAAGTCCCCCAGTAACTAGTAAAATACGAAGTTTGGCCCTTTTTTAATTAGTGTGTTAAAAAGCTTAATAATTCACATACTTACAACTAAGTTAATAACGCTGTGTAATAAATATCGTTATCATAATACTTGACCATCACATATTATTAAAAGAAGAAAAAAAAAGGGGGGGGGGGGCGGGGATCAATTGACAGAATCTGAGTGAAATTGATAGCAACTGGCGGTATCTGGAAGAATCTTTCCAATCAACAGATTTGAACGCACCGTCTACTGAAGTAGCACAGTTACCACCAGTTACCTCGTACTCTATTTTTCTATTAAAAAGTG